AAACGGTTTAAATTATTATCATGTCTTGGGGAGGACCAGAAGTTGATAGAGGTGATGTAAAGATAGATCCAACCGACAAGGGTGGTGATCAATCTTGGAGGAAAACCGCTGACACCCATAAGATGACGAGCGAGCAAGTCAAGGCCGCGGGTGTCGAGGGGTCGCAACGACCCCCGGACACGGCCGAGGTCCTGGGGAGGTGTTACACCAACGACGTCGGTTGCCTTTCAGTTACGCTACTATGGGTATAGCTGGTTTTGCTATAACGGCTATTATAGGGTATAGTGTATTGTACTCTAAGAAAAAGGCTAAGGTTGATGCCTTGGATGTTGCTAAGGTTGCTACTAACACGGCTGTGCCCGAAAACACCGAGAATCGATCTAAGAGATAGAGTTATTGATGAGTTAGTTTTTTTATTTGGTTATGTGTGGATGGAGTTCTTTTTCATGTTAGCATGCATGTATTGATAATTTTGGTAAAATAAGTTTTTTGTATGAGTGTTAGTTACTTGGATTTCTCAAGTCTAAAACACATTAATATTATCAACTTCTCTTTGTTTGATTTGGTTAAATGTTGAAAATTTGTAATGCCAATGAAATCTAATTTCATATTAGTGTTATGACTTGTTTGGTTGAACTTTGGGGAAGTTTTACTCACCATATTTAGTAAACCTAATCAAATAACGCAATTCAACATTATTGTTATTCTATTGTTTGTCACCAAACATGCCATGAGAGTCTTATCATGTAATATAATCAGATCAAGAGTATATATAGATAGGCAAAAATACATCATATAATTACAAGTTTACGATGATAGAAAATAAACAAACTCATTTTTTTGATGAAGTAGTAGATGAATGATGGCTAAGTTTGGAATTTGTGACCCAAAAAACTATAATCCGCGCATGTGATACATTTTCTTGAAAGAAGAAAAGTGATACTATACATTAATAAAGAGTCAAACATATATTATACACATTGGGCTTAAACCAGTTTACCTATGATAATACTAGGTAGGGCCTTCACTTTATGTCTATCCCTCCATCGTCCACACCCTACCACACTGGTTCCAGAGCAACATTGAAATCTCTTCATAGCAGTTAATTATGGGAATCAGCTTGAGTGGATTGACCACGGTGTCGCTGCACACACTCTTTTTTCATTTACGTAGATGTTTTTGTTTATTATTGTTAAATTGATTATAAATAGCTTTAAAAATAATCGCACAAAATTATTTAAGTGTGTAAGAAATTCATATGTTGGCCATACTACATTAGATATTATAAGTTATACTTACACTTAAAGTTGAACCACTAAATGACTGATTTTTGCACAAGGCCATGGGCCACTGAAATGCTACTACTGCAAAGTCTTGAGGGGGGATAGGTTGGCAGTAAATGGGAGATATAAACATTTTAAACACAACAATGACATGAAAATAAGAAAAGTCTTCAATTTTGTGACTATAATGATCACTCACTAAGCTACTAGGGGTATTAGACATATTGCAATTTAGCACATATATAATAATATCTTTATTTAGGGGCGGAGTAGGCAATGGGACATTGACTTCACTTATTTAAAAAAAAAAATTATAAACATTTTAAAAATAAAGATATAATAATTTAAAATTGAATTATGAGATAAAATATATGTAAATTAGAATTTTCTTTTTTGTAAATCCGCATAACATACTTACATGTGTCAATATGTAATATATAAGTAATATGTAATATGCAATATATGATATATAAAATATAAATACGAATATATAATACTACCCCCATTTCTGAAAGTTCGACTTACTTACTATTTATGTGGTCAAAATAAAATAACTTTGACCACATTTTAAGATTTATACAATCATTAACAAATTTGATCTTATTAGATTCCCCTAATAATAAATTTTTCAAATATCAACTTTTTAAAAATTTTACTTATACATAGCCGAAATTATTAATGGTCAAACATGTTTATTGGAGATCGTGCAAATGCAAAGTGAGTCGAGTCGAATTGTTCTTTGAACAGAGGGATATATATTATAAATTTGTTTTAGAATTTCAACTATTACAAAAGTATATATAAATGTTTCTTTTCCTGATTTAGAATAATAATTATTAGAGATATGAGATCAAACTAATATCGTAAGAATATATGTGTATATATCTTCCATATTGATATTATCATGAGAATGATATACTTAGGATTATTTATGTTAAGATATTATTTAGTGAATATATCTTTTATATATATGATTATGATAAACATCTTTAAATTAAATGGTTATGATAGGTTATCTTTAGGATATATGGTCAAGTTATCTTTAATTTAGGATATATGGTCAAGTTATCTTTAATTTAGGATATATGGTAAAGTTATCTTTAATTTAGGATATATGGTTATGATAGGTTATCTTTAATTTAGAATATATGGTTATTATAGGATTACCGCATTGTTTTTGTAGTGTTACAGTAGGAGTCAAATCACATTCACGAAATGTAACATACAATGCACTTGTAATTGTGTAAAACACATGAGATTGTATATGACTTTGATCGAAAACGAAAAATCGAAGGAGCCACCAACAAGTTTATAGACTTGTAAATCGTTAATGGATCTCACGAATAAGCTAAGCTACAAATTGAAAACAATCAACCATAATAAAGGACCAAATCATAATGGTGTTGAACCAATTAGGATTTGAAAATGATGGTACAAACTTAATTAGGATTAGACTTGGTAAACGGGCCGTTCGGGTCGGGTACAGGTCAGGTCAATTCGGATCGGGTTAATTTCAGGTCAATCAATATTCGGGTTGGGTTTGGGACGAGTCGGGTCAATTCGGGTTTCAGGTCAGTTTCTAGTCAATGATTATTCGGGTCGGGTTGGGTATCGGGTCAACACTTCGGGTCGAGTTAGGGTCGGGTCATTTCGGGTCGGGTCAGTCTTTGAGTCCAAATGTCAGGTCAAGTTCAGTCGGGTCAACTTCGAATCGGGTCAAATTCAGGTCAAGTTGAGTTTGAGTTGGGTCAATTCGGGTCGGGTCAATCTTCGAGTACAATTTTCGAGTCAAGTTATGGTCGGGTCATATTTGGGTCGAAACTTTGGGTTAAGGCATCAAGCTCAAATAGTTAAATTTATTATTGGTATTTTTATAGTTACCATTGTTTTTAATAAGAAATATAAATCTAAGTGTCAACATCATTGTTATTATTGCCGAGAGTTATTACAATATTATTGTTTCATATATAATCACTATCATTGATTAATTAGTAAAAAATTCAAATTAGTTCAAGGGCTTGTTCTCTTCACGACTTCACCTTATAAAAATAAGTTTAAGGTCTAATAACTTCAAATAAGTTCAGATTAGTACAGATAAGTTACTATAAGCCTATAAGGTCCAATAAGTTTAATAAGGACTAATAAATTTAATAAGTTCCAATAAGTCAAAATAAGATCTAATAAGTTCTAATCAAGTCTAGTAATAAGGTATAATAAGATCCAATAAGTTCTAATAAGTTCAATCAGATCTAATAAGTTTTGATAAGTTCAGGTCAAATAACGTGAAGAGATTACACCCTACGTAAAAAGTGAAAAGGATTTAAATATAACATTTTAAAAAAGAAGAGTAACAGTAACAATAACAATAACAATAACAAGTGTTCCTAATCAAGTGGAACTCTTTATAATTACGAATTTACGAGTACTAAATACACGCACATTACTCATGTCATGTAAGAGTGTAAGACCACGTAAGAGTGTCATTCTTAACCAATTAAGGTACAAGTCGATTTGGTTAAGGTTACTTTCGATAAGTGTTTATTTGGGTAAAAGTAACTAAGCCATAAATCAATTAGGTCATTTTGAGTATTAGTTACTTCGTATTTTTTATTCGGGTCATTTCGGGTATAGTTCGGGTCGCTTCGGGTTCGTTTCGGGTCTATTCGGGTCAATCGATTTGGGTTAAGATCGGGTCGGGTCACTTCGGGTCGGATCGGGTCGGGTTTCCGGTCAACTTCGGTTCGGGTTAATTTGGGTATCGGGTTTACTCCATACTAGTTGCTTAGTTTGATGATAAAAATGATAGTGTGTGGATACGATTCTTTATGGAATAAGTAGTAATTGTTGCATCAAAAATTGTGTCATGGAAGAGTAGTCATTGTTGCATCAAAAGTTTTGTTGGCACAAATGGTCATGGAATGAGTAGAAATTGTTTTATCAAGGATTGTGTGGGCACGAATGAGTAGCAATTGTTGTACCATGGATTGTGTGTGGGCACGAATGAGTAGCAATTGCTGTATCAAGGATTGTGTGAGGGCATAATGTTTAATTTCATGGAATGTAGAAATTGTTGTATCAAGGATTGGTGTAATTGTTGTGTCAAGGATTGTGTGTGGGCACAAATGAGTAGCAATTGTTGTATCAAGGATTATCTGAGCGCATGAATTTTCATGGAATGAGAGGTAAATTTTTGTAATTGTTGTGTCAAGGATTGTGTGTGGGCATGATTTGTCATGGTGGTGGACTGTTTCAGATGTTTGAGATGCGGTCGAGGTGGTGGATAGGATAAGTACTTGATGCCGGAGGGCCAATGCACTGACTGAGGAATGTGATCATGCATTCCTGCCATAGATAGGAGAGCTAAAGCTAAGTGGGGTTGAACCAGAAGAGAGGGAAAATATCAGTGGGTGAAGATGATGGAGCAAATGATTGAGTGAGGAAGGACTCTTAAGAAGTGGAGCAAACGATTAAGGGAAAATATCAGTGGTTGTTTCTGCAGTAAAAGTTGTTCTTACCGTAGTTAATATTATTGGGCTTACTTGTAGCAGCTTTCTTCGAATGCTTTCCCACTCCTGGAGTAGCATGCCTAGCAGCTCATCTACAGAAACTGGTTTTGCGCGAGCTGAGTGTTAATACAAGTATGAAAAGAGGAGTAATCTTCAGTTCTTCACCTAAAAGTGAGACACCAAGACAAAAGGGGGACTTACAAATTTACAGTACTCGGAAGTTGGAACAGAGAATTCAGCTATGACAAATTAAGCTCAAGTGCTTAACTAGAGTAAGCCAAGACCACCAAGAGTCTGCAATGACATATGTATGCTTGCATTGATCAACACAACATCTTAAATCTGTAAAACGAATGTACCGTGGATCTGGCCTTACAAATCAATCTATCTTCAATGATGAGTATATGAGTTTAGTAAAACAGAAACATGCATAGAAACCAACAGTTCCTGTTAGTACAAAAAATGCAAACGAACCAATGAGCATGTGACCGAGAAAGAGAAGCGCTGGAACTGGTTTTGTTACATACAATTTTCCTGCAAGAAAATAAGCAGCATACAGGTAGAGGTAAACTCCTGAAACACCCGATGTTAAGTATGAAGTCCACCACCACCTGTAGTCCTCGCGACAGAGATGAAAGTAGCATAGCACGATGGTAGTCCCACCACACGTAGCCAAAAGAGTAAGAACGCCTAAGAACTGGAAGCTCTGAATGTGGTAAATCTGATACAACCAAATAGTGCTTATAATTTTCGAAAGCTCATAGAAGATAGCCGAAAATGGTAAAAGTCCTCCTACAATGAGGGAAGTGATTGGTTGTTTATAGAATGGTTGTTTAGGAATTTCTCGAGGAATTTTACTAGTTCTAACTGGAGCTTTGATTGCTTCAGTCCTGAACCCAAAGTAGCTTCCAATGAAAACAAGGGGTATCGAAACTCCAAACCACAAGAGCATTAGAACAAACATTGCTTCAGGTGGAAGTGCACTTGATGAATTCTGTCTATAGGTGATAAAATTTAAGGTGAACAGAATGATAGCTACTGGTCCAGGCAGCATGAACGCGGTCTTAGCAGCAATCTTTCTCCATTGTGTGCCTTCAAACATTTTGTAAAGACGAGCTGATGAATAGCCGGAAAAATAGCCCATCAACACCCAAAGGAAGAGAATGACTCTCCAAACCTCATCCCAATCTGAAGGCAAGATGAATCCAGGGACAGAAAGGATAGAAACAGCAGTGATCATTGTTCCAAAGCACTGAACTCCAGTTCCAACCAAGATGCAGAGTAAATCAGAGTAAATTGGTCGCCTGAAAACATCTGCGTGTACTAGTTTCCATCCTGTTTCCTCCAGTATAGCAGATTCATTGTACTTCGAGATGTCATGGTATGTACGCATTATTAGTATGGCTACTACTCCTAAAATTAAAAAAAGTGTCACTAAATAATTGATAGTTACATAGAACTGTTTTTCATCAGCCTGCGTTTGATGATAAGTATTCCATCTAGACGCCCATGTAACGTTGCTTTCCTGAAACATGTACACAAAATTATGATGAAAAGAAAACTTAGCATGCACATATAGTAGTCCTGTTGGACCTTTTTGTCATCTTCTGACTATAATTTTATTTCTGATTATGTATATGTATACATATTGAATGCTATAAACATTTTCTTGAATCACCTACAAGTTTAAACTACAAAATGTTTTCTTATTAATTGATGTATGTTGGTTAATTTTGCAATGTTTTGACACAAAAAGTTTACAATTGGAGTATTATTTTTGTATAGATTCACAGAGAGAATAAGGACATAATGCAAAAAGCATTCTCGAAAAGAAAATTTTAAGTGTGACTACCATGATTTACCTGGAAAATGACATCATAAGTAAACACAATTGTTTCGTTTTCTTGAACTAGTTGAGGACCAGACGAATATGTCTCCTCCAAGTCCTCCATAGGAATGTTGCAAGTTGCTAACTTATCCTTTTCATGATTAACACTGTAACGAAAAGGATGAGCATCATGACATCGATAAGGTCAGTGATTTTTGGTAGGGAAGGCGGGAGAGGGGAGGACTAGAGGAGCCTGTGTGGACTTACCTAGAAGGTTTGACCTCAAATCCCACAATCTTTACAAAGTCAGTAGCAGCATCTTTATGATACTTGACAGTAAAAGCCAGATGATTGTAAATGAAGTACCTAATACTTTCGTCCTGTGTACAAAAGAGGTAAGGTAAGATTCATTACGCGCAGACATGCCAATATGAGGTAAGGCTATACTCACATCAACGGTACCAGCATATCGCCCCATGAGCCCTAAATTGTATCCAATCTGATAATAATCATTATCAGCTTCCTCAGTTAGAAGTTTATAACGAAGAGCAACAGGAAGTCCATCCAGAACCCTGACACAGCAAACAAATTAGATGAATGCAATCAACAAAAGACTAATAAGCAATTCAATTTGGTGGCATACATGTTAGCATGATAAAGCTCGTAAATTTTCTCTTGGAATGACTTTGCTGATAACTCATCAAGAGTGATACAACAGACTACTCTGCACATCTGTGGCTCCTGCATCCTGAACTGCAGAATTTCGAAAAACAACCGGGGTTTATACTTTATACTCAGGATTATCTTTTTCCAAATAAGTCTTAAATAATGAAATAGTTGTACTGAGACTACTAACCACATAAGGAGAGTCTTTTAGTTGTTGGCTAAGATATACACCAAGATGTCCTGCAGAGTCATTCGTAGGATTCGGACGACAAAAAGGAACAGAATAGTATGCATAAGGAAGCTGAGCATCAGTAGAGGTTAATTCATCAACTTTTACAATCAATGGATCTCCCTGAAACCAGAAAAATATACCGGCAATTAATTACAGATATTTCAAAGTTCGTTAACATGGTACAGAGTATAAGTCTACAAGACCTACTCACAATTAAGAAAAACAGCATGCTAATGATCTACAAAATCCGGAGTAGTTTAGTCTGTGTTACTTAGGTTGTGACTTGTGAGTGTAGTTTAGTTCGTGTTATTTTGGTTACTACTTACTAGAACTCTTTCAAATCAATGCAACAAAAAATATAAATTAAAATCGAACCTGTTTTAATATCATATTGCAAATCAGCTCATGTTTAGTGCCATATACAATCAAACAAACAAATTTAAGTGAATATTAATCAACTAAACAGGTCAGTTAAATGATAAAAAAATAAAAATAAAAGTAAAATCGGACCTGTTTAAATAGTTGAGGAGAATCACTGAATCGCAAGAAAGAGAAGCAGCATCCGAAATCGATATGGATTATAAGCAACACAAACAATAACAATGTCATGATTGATTTCATTGTGCTTACACCACCATTCATGGAGTTTTTGAATGTGAGAAAGGAAGAGTTAGTGATAGTACTTTGAATCTAAGTCAACTATAGTTTGGAAAAATAAAGATTTGATTTGATTTAGTACACGTTAAATTGATAAATGAATCAACTAATTGAACCCATTGACTTTGATAACTATTTTTAAATCATTAACAATTTGAGTAGTTATATTAAATGGGATTACTCATTTGTTTAAATACAATTAAGTAAAAAATAATTTTAAATTAATAAGAATCAACAATTTTAAGGAAAAAATATAACAAAAAAACAGTAAAAATAATTTCAATTCAGCAAAACTAAGATGAATAGAACATGACCTTAGTCTATTACGAGTATAAATTTATCATGTTTTGTGTCCTGAGTCAAGATGTATACAAATTTACTATGCATCATGAGAAACAATCTATTCCAAAAAATCATTGTACATGTGCCGTTTTTATCGAATTTGGATTGAAATTATCTCCACTCTGCAGCATATGGTGGTTATGTTGGTGATTTAGCATGTACTTGTACATAAAGGAATAAAAGTTTACGTATTAAAAGATTGGTTGGAAAATGACTAACAAAAATGTTGTGAGTGTTTTAGCACGTAATAAAAAGTACATTGAAAAACAAACATCATTTAATTAGCCATTTGAACTACGATTAGATAAATGAACAAACTTTCTATTACAACACTAGATAATCATACATTCATACACAATTGCAAACTTTGTTAAAAATAACCAACTAAAGAAGAAAGCCTTAAATCACTTCAACTTTCCAACACATTGATACATGGTTACTTGCAACCAGGAAATGGGCCACCACAAAGGCACTTATTATGGGCAAATATGATCGGGTCAACCCGTTTGTAACGTCGACCGTTCGGTATTGGGCCACAAAGTTGATTATAACTCACATCGATAGAATCTGGCCGCAATAGGCCGAATCGTTTAGGGAGAGATCCATATATCATATTGTGGCTAATGTTGAAGCCCAATAAGCTTGGAGTCAAGTCCACTTTAGTGAAGTCAAACCTCAAAAGGTTGTATCCTACCTCTATAGTAAGAATGTTGGTGTTAGTCTTTTCAAACAAGAAAGCAGCATCCCCTGTGAGCTTATTTTGACTAAGGTAAATAAAATGTAAATTACCACGGCCCAATGATTTTGGGATTGGCCCACTTAATTGGTTACCGACAAGCCCAAGTGATTGGAGTCCAGGCATAAAGCCCAAAGATGATGGAATTGGGCCCGATAAAGAGTTGAATTTGAGATCTAGTATTGCTAATTTCTTGAGTTTTTGGGCTATAAAATCGGGTATTGGGCCAGACAACTTATTTGAGCTAAAATCAAGGGTTGTGAGATTTGTTAGTTGGGCTATGGAAATAGGAATTGGGCCGGTGAGTAGATTTGAAGAGAGGTCGAGAAAAACCATTTTCTTGAGTTGACCTAGAAAGTTAGGGATCGGCCCAGTAAACTTATTCGATGGGATATAGAGTAGGGTCAGCTTCGTAAGCTGGCCCAAAAATTCTGGAATTGGGCCGGACACATTGGTTCTAGAGATAGTAAGTTCAGTAAGGTTAGTGAGCTTACCGACGTACGACGGTATTGGGCCAGAAAGATTGGGAACTGTGTCAAAGTAGAGCTTAGTGAGGGATGGAAGTTGGTCCAAAAACGATGGTATTGGGCCGTGGATGTCTTGGTCTTCCTCAAATCGAACCATGGTGACGTGGCCTTCAATGTTGCATCGAACTCCATTCCAACCAGCACAATCAGTGTTGGGGTCCCATGATGAAAGCGAGGAGGGGTTGCCTAAGAGCTTCTTAATACGGAGGAGGACATTTTTGTCGTGGGGACGGCAAAGATCGGGTATAGGCTGAGAGTAAGAGAGATCTACGAACAAAGCAACGAGGAGTGTAGCCAGAATTAGATGGTTGGGACTCATTTTTATTATGTGTACCCACTTATAAGCATACTCTAGTACTAGCTTAGTGAGTTGATGCAAGTAAGATGAGCAAAGTCAAGTCTTTATATACAAATCTAATATGCTTGTTGCTGCCGTTTACGCGTTATAATTTGCAATAAAATAAACAAGAAAATTAAAATTTCTTCGTGCTTCTATTCTATCAATTTTATTTATGTCCTCGAAGGGAACTTTGTCACTTACCTGCAAATTGCAATAAAAATCATAAAACAATTGAGGTATCCATACTTTTGCATGATGATTTGTTTTCCTCTGACCATTTTTATATAATAAAGTAATTAAAAGATGACCCTTTTAGATATTTTTCCAAAATTATACATTCTCGGTTCTTTTTTACTTGATCTGTTTCTTTTATCACGCTTGTCAATGTAACATTTTAACGATCAATAACTTTAATTCTCCACAAGTAAAAATTATAAAGTTATATATAATGATAGTATTTATTGTGACGAATTCAAAAAGATCTCACATGAATATGTTTTTACTTATATATTATTCACAAAAGATGGTCAAAGGAGGAGTGGTGAATAGTGTAAAAGTCAAAGCGGATCAAGTAAAAAAAAATGGAGGAAGTATTAAGAAAACGAACTCTTTAATTTTTTTTTATGACTAATATATATTATCGAAAGACGAAAGTAGCATTATTTCTAAGAGCATATACATTCACATTCTTGACCAACTGTCAAACAAATCCTTTCCTTTTGTAGAAAAAAAGTTTACTCCCATTGGCATATTATACTTGTCATATATTTAACCCATGATATTAAATCCCTCCGTTATCTGAAAATCTCAAATGAGCCTAATAAAATTTAGGGTCTGTTCACATTTACTGAACTGAGCTAAAATGAACTGATTGGAGTTGAATCGAATATTTTATGAGAGAAGGAAATTAGGAGTTGAACTAAACTGAACTGATTAGAGCTAAACTGAATTAAACTGAACTGATCTGAACTGAAATTAAGCTGAAGTGAACAGGCCTTTAATCCCTAAATTGATATAAGGAAGCGATGTCACTACTCAGCCATATTAATCTCATCATTATTTCTATTATTAATAGAAATTAAAGAAAAGGCAACGTGTAATCATGTTATTCGTGTAGGCTACGTATCATCGAAAATTCGAAATCATACTCCGTGCAATGCATAAAGCTTAATTAAATGTGTAGATTTATGAAATATTAAAGGCGCCAAAGCACAGGATACTAGCTCAGAAATGCAATCATGAAAAAATATTTGTATACTTAAACTTAGTACTAGCCCAGAAAATAACATTAATATATGTTAACCCACAATTCGAGTTGACCCAAAGACCGAACGTGACCCATGTCGAGAAACTCAACAACCTGACAGCATGGGCTTGTCAATATTGAAGAGTCCAAAGGGTAAATCCAACATGACAATGCTTGTCATGGCAAATCTCCCGTTTTATTTCGTGGACACGTTATGAATTTTGGGATTTTTGGCAATATTTACCACTTGTAAAAGGAAAAACAAGGAACATTTTAAAAATTATATATTGAGTTGAGACTAACAAGATCATACTCGAGAAATTTCAACACAAGGTATGTACGCATTCAAAATAAGGTATCAAGATGAATATAAAGACTAGGTACTATTGACCCATATTAATGATCTAGTCCATCTAGAGCATGCCATGAAACATTCAAGATCATCTGGTTGCAATGTTGTTAAAGTGTTAATTATTCCGAAAACATGATGTCGATTACTCTAAAGGGCATGTTAATGTCAATCCATATTTCATCGAGTTGCCATTGAGGTTTCTTGGATTGTTTCATTGAATTGTTGCGTTCAGGGTTGTGAAATCACTTCTTAAGGGTGCTTCAATATTGTGTTTCATCTTCTTTGCATCAAGTTTTTGTTGTTTCCCTTTTCAGCTTGATGGCCACTTAATTTTCACTTCAATTGTAGACCTTGAGTCTTAAATGACAAATTTAACAAAGACAAAAGGCAAAAATAAGATAAAAGAATAATTAGAAGAAATAATTATGAAGTATGAAGTAAATAATGGTTCCACTGATATCAAGGTCGCATAAATTGGTGGCAATTCTTTGAGGCCGAAACAATCTTTGAGTAGTAAATCTAACAGCTTGCAGAGTCATGATGTGCTGCTAGGAAGGAACTCGATCTGATCATCTGATAACAGTAGAAATTTCTTTGTGTAAAAGATGTGTCTTGAATTGTCTTGCTTTGTTTGAATTTGCAATACAACAAATGCCTTTCTAACAAGTAACAGCGAACGAAGAGGGGGGAAAAACAGCAGTTATGAATAAAATAAAGATTTGAGGATTATGTCATTACAAAAAACGAATGAGAAAAATACAAGATCCTTCACAGTCTACGGAGTATATCAGAGTTGGCCTTTCAATAATACTATAGTTGTGATTACAGTCCTCTTCCGACATTTACGATCTAATAACGTACACAAGAATCGCTAATTCTGAGAAGAATGTGGCTATCTCTTTCTTTGTGAGGGTGGGAAAATTTGCTCACCATTCACCAATTTAATGCGAGTATATCATTGTACTTAGTCAATCTTCACAGAGGAGTAGATAAGCCTGGTAAACCAGAAGCATGCGTAGAAACCAATAGTTCCCGTAAGCACGAAGAATGCGTATGAGGCAATGAGCATGTACCCAAAGTATAACATTCCAGACACTGGCTTTGTGATTTCAAGCTTGGTGAAGAAATAGAATGCTGCGTAGAGGAATAGGTACAGGGCGGAAGAACCTGATGTCAAATAAGATCTCCACCACCAGAGGTAGTCCTCACTGCAGAGCTGGAAGTAGCATAGCACAACGGTAATCTCAGCACAGGTTACTATAAGAATCATGAACACGATGAAGAGGAAGCCAAAGATGTAGTAGTACTGATTTAGCCAGATAGAGGTGAGGATGAAGAAGAGCTCGATGAAAACAGCACCAAATGGAAGTATGCCTCCAATGAGGATAGAGAAGATGGGGTTCATGTACCAGGCTTGCTCTGGAATTTGCCTTGGAATCTTGTTAGTTTTGACGGGGTCTTCGATTGCCTGCTTCCTGAATCCAACATAACTACCGACAAAAACAAGTGGGACTGAGATACCAAACCACAAAAAGATGAGGGCGAACATTGTCCCGAATGGAACTGCACCAGATGATTTCTCACCCCAGATGAGTGCGTTTAAAATGAAGAAAACAATGGCAACGGATCCTGGAAACAAGAATGCAGTCCGAATAGCAATTCGCTTCCATTCTGTTCCTTTAAACATTTTGTAAAGTCGAGCAGAAGCATAACCAGCAAAGATACCCATGAAGACCCAAAGAAAGAGCATGGCAGTCATAAGCCCACCACGGTTTGAAGGTGAGAGGAAACCAAGTACAGCAAACATCATGGTGACAACCATCATCCCAAGGCACTGAACACCAGTTCCAGCATAGACACACAGCAAATCTGAATTAACTGGAGGCCTAAAAACATCCCCATGGACTAGTTTCCAACCAGTTTCCTCCTGGGCTTCTTCCTGGGTCTCAAGTTCATTGTACTTTGAGATGTCACGGTATAGTGTACGCAACATGATCATTGCCACCATTCCAGAGAGGAATAGGACAATCATCAATGAGTTGACAATTGAAAACCAATGTATCTGGTCATCACTCATTAGGAGATACGCATCCCACCTAGATGCCCACTTGACCTCACTTTCCTATACACAAACAAAGAAGAAAATCCTGATAAGCAAACTAAGTGACTGACTGACCACACTGTCCCAATCCATACACAGGTGCACAAAGCTATGAATGGTTAGCAAGTTACAGCAGAAGGCGAAATGCCTCAAAGTTACCTGAAATTGAACATCATAAGTAAATACGATTTCTTGCTTATCTTCAACTTCTTGTGGGTTACTAGAGCTAATAACCAAACGATTTGCATGAGGATCGCATGATGTTAGACGAGTATTGTCATTCCATTCCCCTTCATATTCATGCTTGACACTGAGTCACCCAGAAAATATAGAACATCAAATACTTGCAAAAGAAGGTGTCATTAAGCTGCCAGAAAGGAGAATTCCACAAGAAAAAATACCTGAAAGGCTTGACCTCAAACCCTACAATTCTTGATAACTCAGTTTGGGCATCTTTGTGGTATCGCACAGTAAATGAAAGATGATTGTGGATAAAAAACTTTTCATCCTTGGTCTACAGTCAAAGTTCAAAATGTTAAGCACAGGGATCACAAACTCATAACTAAACCTATACTTTTTTTTGAAAGGAACTAAACCTATACTTTATTATACTAAGAACATAAAAACTCACTCCAGCATATTGCCCCTTGAGCCCAACATAATATCCAAGCTGGTAAACAGGAGTTAAATCCTGGTCTCCACGTCTTATTGGCATAACCAAGGGAAGGTTATCAAGGATCCTGTTTGTTCATAAAACCATCAAATTGATGCAAACAGGTTAACACAAACAAGAAGGTTATGCATGGGGAGCAAGATGATTCTTACATATTAACCCGATATTCATCGTTAATTTTCTCTTTAAATTCCTTGGCTGCTTTGGCATCAAGTGTTGTCCGGCAAACAACATTACACATTTGATGTTCCCGCATTTTGAACTGCAAAATATCCACAAAGCTAACGGTGAATATCCACCAAGATACTACAAAGATCAGTTTCCCCAACACCCAAAAGAAATGTTGTTGTAGGAAAAAAAAACTAACCACATATGGAGAATTTTCAATTCGGTCACCACGAAGAACTTCACCAAGATTCTCCGCACTGTCAACAATGGTGTGAGGGCGGCAATAAGGAAGTGAATAATATGAGTAAGGAAGCTGGGTCTTGATTGAGGTCAGCTTGTTGACCTTTACCATCAATTGATCTCCCTGCACACAAACATATAAATCAACTAAATTCACAAAGTTCAACCAAAATCCAATAGATAAGTGGTCATAATAAAGTCCATTAAATAAATAAATTCTATCAATGGTTGAATGACACAAATCACAGTCA